AGGGGGCGGAGTGGAGCTGTGGCTGGGGGCGGAGCTGGTCTCGGGGCAGAGCAGGGGGCGGAGTGGAGCCGCGGCTGGGGGCGGAGCTGGTCTCGGGGCAGAGCAGGGGGCAGAGTGGAGCTGCGGCTGGGGGCGGAGCTGGTCTGTTGGCAGAGCAGGGGGGCAAAATGGAGCTGCGGCTGGGGGCGGAGCTGGTCTGTTGGCAGAGCAGGGGGGCAAAATGGAGCTGCGGCTGGGGGCGGAGCAGGGGGTGGAGTGGAGCTATGGCTGAGGCGGAGGTGGTCTGGGGGCAGAGCAGGGGGTGGAGTGGAGTGGAGCTATGGCTGAGGGCGGAGCTGGTCTGGGGGCAGAGCAGGGGGCGGAGTGGAGCCGCGGCTGGGGGCGGAGCTGGTCTGGGGACAGAGCAGGGGGCGGAGTGGAGCCACAGCTGAGGCGGAGGTGGTCTGGGGACAGAGCAGGGGATGGAGTGGAGCTGGTCTGGGGGCGGAGCTGGTCTGGGGGCGGAACAGGGGGCTGAGTGGAGCTGTGGCTGAGGGCAGAGCTGATCTGGGGGCAGAGCAGGGGTTGGAGTGGAGCTGGTCTGGGGGCGGAGCTGGTCTGGGGGCAGAGCAGGGGGCGGAGTGGAGTGGGGCTAGGGGTGGAGAGGGAATGAGGCAGAACTACTTTGGTGTTGGAGCCAGGGCCGGCTCCAGGGTTTTGGCCGCCCCAAGCAGCCAAAACAAAAACAAACAAACAAACAAAAAAAAAGCCGTGATCGCGATCTGCGGCGGCAATTCGGCGGGAGGTCCTTCGCTCCCAGGCGGAGTGAAGGACCGTCCGCCGAATTGCCGCCGAATACCTGGATGTGCCGCCCCTCTCCGGAGCAGCCGCCCCAAGCACCTGCTTGAGAAGCTGGTGCCTAGAGCCGGCCCTGGTTGGAGCAGAGCTGTGGCTGGGGTCGGAGCTGGTCTCGGGGCAGAATGAGGCTAGGTGGCGCTCCCTCCCCGCCCCCTGGGGTTGGCAGATCCCCTTTGACGCCGGGATCCAGGGAAAAGACCATGTTTGCCACGCCCTTTGGACTGCACCAACAATTTTCCAACAATGCCGTTTGGGTGGCAGGGGCAGTGGCGACCTTTCAGAGATTAATGGCTCATGTACTCCTTCCACGTGGGCAGTACGCCATGGCTAATTTGGATGAGAGAGTCACATATAGCCCAGTTTGGGACAGCCTTCTCCACCATGTTTCTGCAGTACTACAGTTGATCGCCAAAGCCATCCTGACTACCGACCTGGGTCAGTGTCAACTGATCGGGGGCAGGGGAGAGGTCACCCTGAATGACTCCCGAAGCCACAGGGGGAATTCCCATCCAGGAGATCTCCACCCCAGCCCTACAGGGAGTGCCGCGAACTCCCAGGGTAGTGAGCCTGATTCAGCTACCCAGCCAGAAGGACTCCTAGAACAGCACCACGCAGACAGCCCTAGAGTAAGACGACGCTGCTGGGCTTTTCCATGTGACTTGGCTCCGGGAAGAAGTTATTCTTGGGGGCTGTAGTAGGTCTTAGCCGGGGCTCGACCCTTCCGGGCAGGAGGGGAGCCACACCGACTCACTACTGTGGGAACAAGCAGGCAGTTAGTCCCGAAGCTCCGGCTCTTTGGTGCAGGGCCGGAGCAACCACAGTTAAAGCTCAGGCCCTTGACTGCAGGGGCGGAGCAAACAGTCCAGAGCCCAGGCCCTGGATCAGGGCGGGGCAAACACAGGTAAGCTCAGGCCCTTGTTTGCAGGGGCTGAACGAGCAAATAGTTCAGAGCCCAGGCCCTGGATCAGGGCGGGGCAAACACAGTTAGGCTCAAGCCCTTGTTTGCAGGGGGCTGAGCGAGCAAACAGTTCAGAGCCCAGGCCCTGGGTCAGGCGGGGCAAACACAGTTAAGCTCAGGCCCTTGTTGGCAGGGGCTGAGCGAGCAAACAGTTCAGAGCCCAGGTAAGGCACGCCTAGGCTTTCTGTAGCAGAGCG